GCCTGCGGTCAGGGGGTCCCGGTCAGGCAGGGGCTCAGCCCCCGACCCACCAGGCCGAGGGGCAGCCGTCCAGGCCCTGCACAGCCATCCTCCCTGCCTCTCCTGCAGCTCCCTCCGCCCACAGCGACAGCCCACTCCTCCAACTTGTCTTCATGGCCGTCCACCAGGCCACTGCGTTCTAGAACCTTCCACTGGCTTCCTACTGCTTTGGAAATAAAGCCTGAGCCATGTGCCAGGCCCAGAAGGCCCACAGGGCCAGGCCTGCGCCCACCTTGCTGACACGCCTCCCCCTGGGCTGCAGGCCCCTCCTCTGGGGGCTCCGCCACCATGCCCACTGCTGCGTGGAAGCTTAGAGCAGTCTTAAGGGTGGCCACAGTTTCTGACCGCTCCCCCAGAGGGGTGGAATTGAGTCGCTTTTCCTTGAACATGGACAGGCTCGCTCCTCCCTCCTCCGCTAGCACTTGCACCGGAGCCCTGAGCTGACCAAGGTCAGCACCGTGAGGCCGCCGTGCCCCAGGGAGCCCTGGCCGCAGGAGAGCCCACGTGTGGACGCCGCGGCGAGGGACCTCCCAGCTAAGCTCCACACATCTGCTGACCGGGAGTGGAGAAGAAGGCTCCAGGTCCTCCAGCTGCAGCCGCAGAGGCCCCCCTAGTGCTGAGTGCTCCCAGCTGAGCCCCAGGCATCCTGGAGCCAACACACACCTCCAGCGCCGGCCCAACGGCCCACCAGCTCCGTGCTTCAAGCCCACGGGCCTCCAGGCCTGCAGGCCGGCCCCAGGGCTGCTGTCAGCTTTCCCCAAGGGACGGAGCTGAGCATCACGCCAAGTCCTGGCGGCCTGCCCAGGTCACAATGACAGGTGCACAGCTCCTGCACTTCCCGGGGAGCAGTCCTCCGTGGCCCCGGGGAAGCCCTCCTTCCCCCGCCTGACTTCTGACGTGCTCAAGGAGGCCCCAGCTCAGAGGAGTCGTCAGCCCAGGTGATGGGGCCAACGGCACTGCCGACAACCCCTAACAGCAGAGGACAGAGGGCGCTGGACATGCGCCCGCCCCCGAGCCCCAGCTCTTGAGCAAGCCTTGCCCTGTCTCCGCAGATGCGCGCACTCATGAATGTGACCATGACCAGGCTGGAAGGAGCAGCTCACGGGGCTCAGGGTCCTGCTAGGCTGAGCTCTGCGAGGATGAAGATGGGGCCGGCCCAGGGCCAGCCTGGGCCACCCCCACTAAGACCTGCCAGGAGCCCTGGATCTGTGAGGCACTAGATTAGCGGGACCCAGGCCTCCCTGATCTGCTTGGAGCCGGTCCGGACACAGAGATCCTGCCAAGGCAGGGAAGAGCTACCCACCTAGAGCCAGGGGCTCCCCAGGGCCCCATCCCCCTGCCGGGGCCTCTGCCCGGTCCCCCCACAAGCAGTGGGCAGATCCCAAGCAGACACCTCTTGCACACACACCCACGTGGGCGCCCTCGACCACCATAGGGTCACGCGAGAGCACACACACACACCGGCCCCCCCAGACCTGAGAGGACCGGTCAGGAGACTGTCCCCAATGTCACACACTAGTAGTGGGACACCAGGCGGTCACCTCCCTCCCCCAGGCACACTTGCCCCATCCAGTCCAGTCCCCGGGCAGAGGCCCCACAACACCCCAGTGAATCAGTGAGTCCCCCACAGAGGCATCCAGTCAGAGCCCTGCTTCCCCCAGCCCCCCAGCCAGGCCGACTGCCAGCAACATGGGGTGGGGGGTCTCGGAGCTCTGGGGGCCCAGGCGGCCACCATACCCCCCAAGAAGCACTGCTACCCTCTGAGGCCATTCGCCATCCCCCTCCAGCTCCCTGCACCCACACCCCTGCTCTGGGCCGTCCTCCCTCTGCAGCGAGGTCAGTCAGACGGGATCTCTGCGGGCTGAGCCCAGCACCAGGCATGGACGCCATCACTGCCTCCTTCCCAAGGAACACGCCCAGCCGGGTCTGGGTCCACACGTCAAAGACCAAGACACCCAAGTGACCCTGAACGTCACACAGTCAAAGGGTGACGGGCTGGCCCCCGGGGCTCCACTGCTACAGCCTGTCAGCAGGGGGCTCACCGGCTGAGCTGGCCGGGGAACCAGGCTACAGACACGGCAGGGCGCCAGGGAGTGCAGTGGGGGATGGGGCACTAGGGGTGGGAACCGGGGAAGGCGGGCTCTGGAGGAGAAGAGGCAGGCCATGCTGGACCCCTTGGGCCCTGGAGCTGGGGGCTCACCCCATCCAGCCTCCACAACCAGGAGCTGCGGACCCTCCCTATCCAGTCACACACCTGCTGGGAGGAGCTGGGACCACTGGGGTCCCAGGGGTGGGGAGTCCTCCGCGTCAGCCCAAAAAGAGCCTCCCTGCCTGTTGTAAACACAAGCTAACCCCAGCCAGGTGTGGGCTGAGCCCCGTCACCCTGATGCTGTGCCCAGGGACCTACAGACTAGAACCAGGGCTATCCCACAGCGTGCCCACGAGGCTGTGGGGACAGGCCCCTTTCCGCAGCCACAGTGCCCACACAAGGCTCCTGGAATGCCCATCCATCCCTCCACAGCAGCCTGGGTGACACCCCCACAAGACAGACAGACAGACAAGGTCCTCTGGCCACTGAGCTTCACTCCACGGGGGAGAGATCTCAATCCCGGCCACCTCAGCCGACTGGGAAGCCTACAGCAGTGTGCCCAAGGCGGGGTCCCCTCACAGTCCTGACACAAGTGGCAAAGCCACACGTCTCATGCAAGGCGAGAAAGTCAAGGTCAACTCTGTGTGGCTCTCTGGTCACTAGATTTACTCTTCTCGAAGGAACGTCCCCTCCCAAGATCAGAGCCCGCCATGTCGCACTGAAGCGTCCTCTCCTCTACCTTCTACAAGACGCGGGCAGTAACGGATGGTGGTGACGGGTTTTTTTAGTCCTACTTCATGAAATAAACACCCACCGACTGTCAACGTGGAGAAAACACAGAGCTGGAACTTACACCGGCCTCAGTCACTTCCAGATGCTACCAGTCCACCAGCTGCACCAGTTCCGCCACGAAAGGGGGCCTGGGAGGTTCCGGCCCGCAGCCGGTGCAGAGCTACCCTGCAGGCAGAGGGGCTCCGGGGGCGGGGTTCTGGCTGGGGGGAGACAGGAAGGTGCTAAAGCCAGAGTTTCTGGGTCTAAAAGCTGAGGTCAACAGGGCAGGAGAGGGGATGGCCCCAGCCACACTATCACGCGGGCAGGGGAAGGAGCAGGAGCCGGCTGTCCTCTCCAACCCACGCCGGTGACGTCGGCCTTCGGCCAGCTGGGCAAGGCAGCCCAGGAAACACGCTCAAGGGCCCGGGCCCTGAAAATGCCCGCCGCTCAACCCCGGGGACACGGCTCCAGGGACCGACCCCGGAAACGGGCGCGAACAGGACCCACCACAGCATGGCTCCTGGGAACTCCGGTCACGGGACTGAGAAAGAGGAAGGGCCGGACAAGCCGGCCCGAGTGTCCTCTCGCTAATGATCCAGGTCCAACTGCGCCCGCCGTTCTGAAGAGCTGCGCCCCGTGTGTGATAAGGGCACGCACGCTCCAGGTTCCTAACAGTGAAAACCAGGATCCGGAACATTATTCACTGAAATCCAATTCTGCAAAATGCGTAAGGACTCGAGAAGAGGCTGGCAGGAAATACCAAAATGTTAACTCAGACATCCTGTGTGGCCATGTTTCCCATAATGAACATATGCTACTTTCACAATCAGAAAACAATACGTTATTTTTAAAAAAGAAAACGAATAATTAAAAACAGAATTGTACGTAAAATCTGCAAAGGGCCCCTGGTTGCCTTAAGCTCGGGACCCTCACACTGGGCAGAAGTGGTCCCAGCTAGCCTGTGTGGACGGACAGGAGGAAAGCCGGATGGATGGGGAGCTGGGTGAGACGGACGGGTGAACCAGCGCCTGGGTGGGTGGATGGGTGGGCATGTCATTGGTTGGCACATGGACGGACGGGGGGTGGGCATACAGGGAAGGGAATGAATTCACCGGTGGGTGGCTGGATGGGTGGACACACAGACGGACAGGGTGACGGACAAAGAGACGGAGAGGGGCTGTGGCCTCTCCAACAGACACCAATGCCAAGAAGAGACACGTGGTCTCGGCCACAGCCCACACCCCTCGGAGCACATGTGGTCCACCGGCCCACACTAGCGTCCTTCCCAGGCGGGAGGCTCGGGCTCAACCAACCCAGGGTCCCCTGGCCAGGAGGTGGCACAGGGAAGGAGGGCGTAAATGCTAGTCCCAAGCTATCCCCTCAGGGATCCCCACCCGGGCCGTGCTGGGATCACATGGCATTCTCATCATGTGTCACCAGGCCCTGGGTGACGGAGCCTAAACAGAGCGACCCCCTGCCCCACGCTAGCCAGGCCAGCCCCCTGGCAGAGCTCTCCCTTCTCTCTCCCCAGAGACGCAGACCCTGAGAAGCCTTCCTGCAGGGAGCGCAGCCTTGCCCTGGGCTGGCTCTGTACCCGATCCAACCCGGGCCGGGCCCCTGGGCAAGCAGACAGGAAAGCCCAACAGGACACCCACAGGGCAGAACCACAGCCACAAAAGCACAGGCCCAGCTGGGTGTCCGCAGCGGGCAAGCTGCCTGTGTTCCGGCACCCCCATGGCAGCCGGCATGCCCACAGGTGTGCTCACGAGGGTGCAGCGCCTGCCATGAGCTCTGCTGTGTGACACACACGTCTGTGCACACAGGCGGAAGCTGGTTCACCACCTGAGCACACGCCAGCACGCACGGGTGTGTCTGCACAGGTGTGACAGGCACAGCCAGGCTTCCACACGCGTGGATGGAGGGGGACGCTGCTGTGAGCTCGGCCTCCAGCTCCAAGCACGGGCTCAGCTGGCCCTCAGGTGTGTGGGGTGGACGTGTGGTCCCAGCAGGTGTGGGGCTGGTCTGTGGACAGGCAGGCCTATGAGCGGGTGTAGGGCACGCCTGTGCACACCCACAGGCATGCCCGCGATCACACACTCACAGGCTCTCCCTCAGCTCCTGCGTGTCATTCGGCGTCCCCAGGGACCGGAGGCTCTGCTCCAAGGAGGTCACTGCCCAGAGAAAGGGACATGCATCAGGAACAGAAAGACCCCCGTCCAGATGATCCCCAGACTCCGGGCTGCACCCCCCCATCCCCAGCAGAGGCAGGGCAGGGAGCCCCAGGACATGGGGGCCGAGGCCACAGAGACCATGCAGCGACCGTGGGCACAGAGCCAGGACAGCCAGTGCTATAGCCCGGCCCCAGCCCCACACTTGGCCAGTCATACCCCCATGAGGTCCCCCAGGCACAGTCCTCTCCCAGCCCTTCAGGTACAACCCATGGTCTCCAAGCTCTAGGAACTGCCCCTGAGGGCCTCACCCCAGGTGTGGAGAGGGGCTTTCTCTCCTCTCCTAGTCAGCACTCCCCTGCTGACCTGCCAGAGCTCAGGGTTCAGGGACAAACACCAGCCCTTGCCCACAGGGTGCAGCGAGCCACCCCCCATCTGCCAGGTCTACAGGAACTAAGGATGGGGCAAGCTAGGACTCTCACTCCTGACCCGGGGAGCCGTGAGGCAGCCCGTGCTACCAGGCAGAGCGAGGCTCTGAGGCACCCCCCTCCGGGGGACAGGACAGGTCCACACTGCAGAGAGCAGTGGACACACGGGCCACCCCCGCCCTGCCCTGAGACCGCAGCCCTCTCCTGCGACCAACAACAGGGCCTGGGCTGCAGGGTGGCCGAGTCAGGGGACGGCCGGGTCAGCTGAGGGGGAGACGAGCCCGGCACAGACTCACCGTGGGAGTTGATTCGGAAGACGCTGGCCGACGTCTGCTGGAACAGCTCCTGGAGGTCACCTGGGTCCACCTCGGCGGCTAGGAAAGAGCAGAGGGCAGCACGCGCACTCACGGGGCTGCCTGCTCCGGGCAGTCTCACCCTCCCAGCCTGGGGTCACCCAGAGCCTCAGGGATGGAATGCCAAGCCCACCCTGGGGCACACAAAGCCACAGCAAAGGGAGGAAAGCAGGGGGCAGCCCCTCAGAGAGACCCCAGCAACCCCGCGTCCCCATGCTGGTGCACTAGAGAGAAACAGGAATCCAGGCCCCCGGGAGTTCCTGCACACGCGCGTGAGGTCACTGCACACGTAGGAGACCCAGGACAGAAATAACCTAATGCCCAGCAACTGAGGCTGAAGCGGGGCCACGCCAACGACACACCACACAGCTGAACCTCTCACACGCGCTGGGACCAAGTGTCCAGATCCACGGCAGCCAGGGGCTGGGCCGGGAACGGGATGGGGGCTACTGGCTATGTGGTTTCTTCGTGGATAAGAGAAGGTTCTGGAGGACTCGTGGTGACGGCTGCACACGCCGTCGGAGATACTAAAAACCACTGAAGCGCACGTTTAAAGATGGATAACATGGTGAATTCATGTTGTGTGAATTTCATCCCGTGTAAGTTTTAACTCAATTTTTAAAACTCTAGTGAACATTATGTGGACACCACCAAGTCCTGGGGAGACAGGCCACACACTGTGGCCACGACGGCAAGGTCTGCCTCCCTTAAAGGACAAGGCCCCGCCCGCCCCGTGGTCCAGCCATGGCCCCTGGGATTCACGCGAAGAAACACTAACAGGCCCATAAGATGCTCGTGCTGGCTTCATTCTCAGAACCTGGAAAGGGCGCCACTGGCCACCAACAGAACAGGCAGGGCTCTTCACATGACGGAGCCACAGAGAGGAAGGACTCACATGGGTGTCCACACTGCCCACCCCCGGCCCCAGGGAAGCTGGGACCTCGGCCTGGATGGGGCAGACCGGGGCAGGTCTCCCGGCAATCGACAGGGACTTGTCCGTGATGACAAGGGTTGGGGGGAGAGGGGGCGGTGGCCTGGGTGGGAATGGGGCACTGTGGCCTCTGGGCCCCCACCCCAGACTGAGCAGCCTCAAGGCCCTCGCCTATGCAGTGGGGAGGCTGGTGGGAGTTTTTCTGCGGGACAGACACAAGCAGGGGCTCAGGCAACACTGGTTCCCGTGCCGCGGTACAAAATTAGAGGAGGCGGCGTGTGGCTCTGAAAGCCTTTTCTGTCCTCCAAGTCTGCGTGGAGATGATTCCAGAAGCCATTACACCGGGGTAGAGGCTGCCCATCCCCCTTCTCGAAGCTGTCTTCCTCTGGACACCTCTGGAAGCCCAAACACGAGCTCGCCAGCCACCACCCAGCCCAGTCTACTCCTGACGCCGTGGGCTCTGCATCTCTCCAGATGACAGATGACACTGACTTACCGGCTTTGAGACATTCTGTCTTGGACCCAGGGCCAAAGCAGCTGAGCTCAGAGAGGAGGAGGAAGTGGCCCAGGAATGGGCAGAGAGCACACCCCACGGGGGTGGCTGACAGGTCTCCGCGGGGGGACCCAGATGCAGCTCGCCAGCCCGGCACCAGGCCCTCACAGAGAGCAGGCCCCTTCCTGGCCGGGGTGCAGGGAGCTGGGGCCTGGGGGGCGCCTGGGAGGCCACCTGCACAGCGGCCGTGGGTGCACTAGCAGTCTCCGACACCACGCCACCAGCCCCGGGGGGGTTGGGGCGCACTAAAGATGCCGTGGGCACGCCTGGAAAGCGTGGCAGGAAGGGGAGGGGGCTGTCAGTGGGCTATCTTGGGAACTGCTGCAGACCCACGGGGCGTAGGGGGTGCACACGTCCCAGCCCAGCGCCCAGACAGCCTTCCGCCCCCACGGAGGTCTGGGGGAGGCCTGGGGGCTTCTATCCCACCAGAGCATGCCCAGGAATGCCGGCTGAGGCCCGTTCCCTAGGAGCCAGGCTCCCCTCGGTCCTCGCACCCGGCCACGCAGCTCGGACACTCCCTGGCGGCCAAGAGGGCCCGTGGGACAGTCGTCAGCCTGGAGTTAGAGCGTCCAAGAGCAGTTTCCCCTTGTGTTCTTACAAGGAAGCTGCTGGCCCGGGTCGGCCTCTCGCACCTCTTCCCCGCTGGGATCCCATGGAGCTTGACCTCTGACCTTGGCCAACACTGGCAAGGGCAGAGCCGCAGCTGGAGGGCTCCCCTGGTGGTGGCACAGGGAGACTGAGGCTTAACCTCTTTACTGTGACATGGACACAGCAGCACAGGGGACAGAGGCCTATGGCCCCAAACACGCTGCTGGGGCTGCTGGGGGGTGGGGGGGACAGGCTCACAGGGACTGTGCACCCAGCCCCCACACCCAGGGGCCCACCCGTCAGACAGGGCAGGCAGCGAGACGGTGACCGCGTGACAGCAGCAGGGCCGCCGCATGCCGCCCAGGGGACTGACGCAGGCCTAGGGTCCAGGCCAGGTGAGGGCAGGATGACGGGGTCCGGGCCTCAGGGAAGAGGCGGCAGGGCTGCGGGAGGCTGAACTTGCAGGAGTGGGGGAACAGGGAGGACATCATGCCCCTTGGGCCCAGATGTCCCATAGGCGTGACTGGGGTGGGAAGGGGGCCAGCCACCAGCACGGGAAACACAGAGGAGAAACGGGCAAGGGAAGACGCAAAGAGGTCACTGTGATCAGCATAGGTCAGCAACACGGGGCGACTCTCGGCTCAGAGGTACATGCCAGCCGACGAAATCCAGAAATTAAGACCTCAAAAAAATCAGCCAGCTTCTCCCAGAAACACAATGCAGAGCAGCTTTTGTCATAAGGGAATGGGGCCCAGGATCACCGCCCCCTGAAAACAGCTAAAACTGCATGAAAGACGGGAAACGACGTTCTGATCCTGGACAAGCTCCAGCACAGCCCCAGGAGAGCACCACCCCGCCCATCTCCCTGAGCAAGGCCAGACCACGGGCCTGAGGAGACAGAGGGGAGACTGAGGTAGACCCGGTCCCCTGGTTTCCGGCCAAAGACATGTCTGTGCCTGCACAGGGAAGGACACCCCTCGGGCGCAGGGCACAGGGGTTATAAGGGAGCTGCAGGCCGCCTCCTTCCCCAGCACGGTCGGTGTGCGTCAGGGAAGTCTCCCAGGAGGACAGGAGTTCTGGGCCCTGCAGCACCCGGCAGTGACCGCCCAGGCCACACGTCCGGAGCAGCGGAGTAAAGTCAAGTCAGTCTCAGTGTGCTGGCTACTTCAGAAATGCCCTGAGACAGCACAGTGACCCACAAGTCCACTGCCCCAGACCCAAAATCTAATCCTCCTCAAGTGAGACAACCAAACCCAGCACAAAAGCACTCAAAACTCACAGTTAGAACTTCCAGGACACACGAAGCAGCAGAAGCACATACAGGGCCCTTAACCGTGAGAAAAAGCAGCCAACAGAGAATCAGACGCGGAAACAACAGAGACGACACCAGTAGTAGAGAAAATCACTCCTCCCCGTTGCAACAGAGCTGAAGGACACGGGCGCATCCACCCGGCAAGGAGGGACCGGAGACGCGGAAAAGTCGCAGGGGCACTTGTGCAGACCCCGCGGAGGACACCGCCGTGCGCCTCCCCTGCCTGGGGTTGGCGGCAGACAGCGTGCAGGGCACAGGGGACTGGATTCGAGGGCAGCTCGGCGGCTGAGCCACAGGGGATCTCAAGGCGACACCCAGCAGCCCAGCACCCGCGGAGCCACAGGAGGGGAGCCACAGGCAGGCAACAAACCGGGAGAAGTTCAAGAAATAAGGACCACAAGTACCGAAATTTTACGCAATTAAAAACTGAGAGTTCCATGAAGAATCTCATAAAGTCCCAAACAGAATAAATATTAAAAATTCAGAGCCCAAGGCACAGTAGTCAAAACTGTGGGAGACATCAAAACTGTGGTGACGAGGACACTTCCGAAGGGGCCGGAGGAGCATGCCCGCCACCAGGGACCGAGACACGGGGAGCACTTTGCCCAAACACGCCACGGCGACAGGGCAAAGTGCCAAAAGAAGGAAAAGATCTTTCAACCAGAATTTTATACCCGGCGGAAATATATTCCAAAAATAGAAGAAAAAGAAAGACTTGTTTTAGACAAAAAGGCTGAGAGACTCCGTCCCGGCCGGATGTGCAGCCCAGGAAGCGTTAAACAAAATCTCTCAGGTCAAAAGAAATGGTAAAAGGAAACAGGGTCTACATGAGAAGCCAGAGTGTGGGAGGGCGGGCGTGAGGGCAAAGAAAAAAGACACCTTGTCTCATTTGAGATTATCTCAGAGAACACGGATTACTAAGGTGAAGGCAGGAACAAGACGCCGTTCCGAAGGGCGGCAGGGGTCGGCCACATGAGCCTCCTGAGTCACACGCAAAGTGACCGAGCAGGACCTGAGGGCACACACAGGCAGCAGCTCTGCGGACGCCAGGCTCCGAAGCGGCCACTAAAACACTAAAACACAGAGCGGGCAGGAATCGCTGATGAGCCACGAGCCGGGGCCAAAATGGAATAAACACGCAGTTCCTCCAAAACGCCACCGAAGCAAGAAAGGAGAAGAAAGGGCAATCCGGAGAGCAAACACCAAGACGGGAGCACACTGGCTTTAAGCTGGCGATCGAGCACAGTCCACGTGTGGCCACCGGCGGCCACGCTGCGGGCGCAGACCACGGAACCTGTCATCAGCAAAGCCCCCGCGGACGGCACAAGGCAGCCGCTCCGGTCGAGGCAGGTGGTGAGACGGGGTCAGGAGCAAACTCCACGGACATGGAGCACAGGAAAAGCACTTCAGACGTACAAGCAGACGTAAGCCCAAGCCGGACGACTGGAAAACACATTTTGTAAGACCGCGATCCTGAGAAAGCTGGAGCGGCGATGCCAGCACGGAGAATTCAGAACCACGCACACGAGCAGAGACATAGGAAGGTTTTCACGGCAACAAAGGGGTCAGCTGATGAAGACGACACACCAGTCCCAGGCGGGCGCGGTCCCAATACCGCAGCGTGAGCACGTCTGAAGCAGAGACGGACGGACTGAATGGAGGAACAGACAAATGAGCAGTTCCAGGGACAGTCATCCCCTGCGGGCAGCAAGCGGGGCGGCAGACGGAAAATCCGTGAGGAGACCAAGACTCGAGCAACACCGTCGATCGACTGGACCCAAGTGACGTTTATAGGACGCTCCACCCAACAGAAGCCAGATACACGCTCGTCCAACGCGCGGTACGTACACCGGGATACGCTGTGCTTCAGATACGGCGGCTGACAGCACACGACAGAGTCTCCGAGCACAAGGGAATCCAACGAGAAGTCAGACAGACAGACATCTGGGAACAGAAGGACTTATTTGAAAACTTAACATGCTTCTGAACAACCATTCGTTAGAGAAAAAATTACAAAGGAATCAGAAAAGATTTTAAATGAACGAAGGAAAACACAGTATGTGCGACACCGTGAAGTGAAGCAACGCGCAGAGGGAAACTTAGCGCAGGAACACTCGCACTAGGGAGGAAAAAGGGCTCCAGCCAACGATCCAACAGAAGCCAGAAGCACGTTAACCCCAGAGGGAGGAAAAGGAAGGAAATAACAAAGATGAGCAAAAATCAGTTAATCAACATTGGATAAACAGAGAAGACTGACCAAATCGAAATCTGGTCCTTTGAAACGGTCAATAAAATTGATAGACGTGCAGCCGGGCCAGTCAGGTATGAAACAGAGAAAACACAATTAGAAATGTCAGCAGTGGGACAGGCAGCCTCCGGGCCGACCGGACAGGCACGCCAGCGCCACGCGGGGAGTCCCGCGGACGAGAGCTCGCAGCGAACGTCACAGCCTTGACGCAGTGGGTAGGTTCCATGAAAACACCAATGACCAAAGGTCTTACGAGACGCGGCAGAAGGCCGGGCAGCACCGAACACCTAGCACTGAACACGTAGCACGCGACACTGCCACACATGACAGGTGGCATGGTGACGCTGTAGCAATCACGTGACACTGTGACGCTGAAGAAACTGCAGTTTCCGATCTTCCCACAGTGAAAATACCAGCTCAGAGGCTTCCGCGGTGGATTCTGCCAGAGTTCAGGGAAGAAGAGTATCAATTCTACACAAATTCTCTCAGAAAACAGAGGCGGAGAAACTAGTCCCCGCCGGCCTCAAGACCTGCTCTGCGGTTACTGATAGGCAAGGCGGCCTGGCATTGCGAGAAGCAGGGACCCAGATCGCCAGGAACAGGTCGACCTCCCGGGGGCGTCGTGACGTGTCAAGGGGACTTGGTCTCTTCAAGCAATGGCGGCCGACAGCTGGACGTCCGCCGATCCCCAGTCCCAAAGCAACAAAACTCACAATCAACTCCGCACGCGTCAGTCAGACACAAAAGCTAAAACTTCAAAACACAGGGCACCCGGGTGGCTCAGTCAGTCAAGCGTCTGCCTTTAGCTCAGCTCGTGACCTCGGGGTCCCGGGAGCGAGCCCCGCGTCGGGCTCCCTGCTCAGCCGGAGTCTGCTTCTTCATCGGCCCCTCCCCCACCCGTGCTCCCCCCCACCCTCAAAAGAATAAAAAAAGTTTAAAAAAAAAAAAAAAACCTTCAAAAAACAATACTCCTGGGACTTTGGAGCAGGCGAGAACTTTGTAGGTGCAGTACAAAGAGCAGAAAGCCCAAAAGAAAACACTGATAACATCAAAACCTAAAAAGCTTCAAAAAGACCATCAAGGAAAGCAAAGGCAGCCCAGAGCCCGCCAGACGGTCTACAACGCAGCTGCTGTCCCACGACCCCGGAACCCAGGAGCCAGGACGGGCGGGAGCAGGTCCGAGCCCGAGGCGAGCGCCGACCACCGCAGGGGAGACGCACGCACGGCCCACGAGCGCACGGGCGTCCCCACCAGGGACGGGCGGGCTGCCGCTGCAGCAACACCCCTACCCGCACCGCCGGGCACCGGCCGAAGTCACACCCACGGCAGGAGCACGCGGGGCTGCTGTGGGGACGGAGCAAGACGGCACTTCAGAACCCAGTCTGCTGGTTTCGGAGACAGTGAAGCGTTGTCGCCCAGCCCCCAAAAGAGTGACCGCGTCTGCCGCGGCAGGGGAGAGCGATCGCGGACCTTCGCTCAGCCAAAAGCCACCAAGCACGGAAATGTGCATCAAGGCGACGGGACACAGACTGGGAGATGCCCAGTCCGGAGCGACGAGAGGACACGCCACCGGACCCCGACCCTGGAGTCCACGTGCCCGCGGGTCCACAGAGGCCCACCCCGTGGCGGCACAAAGCAAGCCAGCAGCTGCCCCGGGCCGGGGCAAGCAAGGGGAGGGGGCCCCTCGCCAAACTCCGCCCCGGGGGAACCGGTAGTGGGGGGAGCCGGTGGGGGTGCGCCCGGGGCACGCCTCACACGTGGACGCGCCGCATGCTCACGAGCTCCTCTCCGTGAAGCCGGGTCCCAGGCCCCACCTGCGGCGCGGATAAAGTAAAATAAAAAAAGGAAAATCGGCAGAACGCATCCAGATTTTCTCCGGGAGTCCTCCTCCCCGCCCTCGGCTTCTACTGTGAGCAGAGATGATGGGACGCAGCTGAGCCACCTGCCCCAGTGGCGTCTCTGGGCAGGTGCGCGGCGCCCTCTGCCCGAGGCAGGAAGGGGACCTGCGGCCACCGGCACACACTTGCCAAAGCCTTCCAGGACCAAGGGGCCCGGCTCCGCGTCAGCTCCAGCCCCTGCCCTTCCTCTTCCGGGCCCCCAGGCAGCTGCCGCAGCAGCCCCACCAGTGCTACCGGAGGAGGGGGTAGGAGCACAGAGACCCCCTTGGAACCCAACATGGCCCCCACCTGCCCTGCCGCATGCGCCAAGCGGACGGCAGGCTCTGCCCCACCGCAGCGGCTCCCGGGTGTGACAAACGGCTGGCGGAGGGCTGGGCAGGAGAAGGCCAAGTGCGATAGAGAGCCCCAGACGTGGGATGAGCAAGGGAAGTCAGGGGACCTCTCAGCTGCAGAGCAGACAGGCTTAGGCGAAACCCAGCACCGCAGCGCCCCAGCACCCCAGTGCACAGGTGCCGCTGCCTGGGGGTGTGGGGCCAGATCCACGTGTGGGCAGGCTGCAGGGGATCCCCAGTGAGCAGCAGCACACGCACCGGGGCCCATAATAGGGTAGCACCCCACGGCGCTCAACAGCTCCTGAAACTACAGTCAACGGCCGCTCCCCCTGCGAGGGCAGGCTGACCCTCCAGGGCCTCATGAGGAGGAAACATCTGGAAAGCAATCGCAAAGCCATGCAGGCCAGGAGCTGGGGGCTTGCTCCTGCTTTGTTCTTGATGCCCCAGGTGTATTTTCCAGTCCCAGGTGTATTTTCCAGCCCTAGTTCAAAGTCAAAGACTAGGTGAGGAAGGAGAAACGGTCGTCAGAAGCTAACGCCGGCACCCACCTACGACCGAGGAAGCACGCACAAAGGACAGGCCCACCTCCCTCCCCGGCCCTAACTGCCAGAATCTGGGCTCAGCCTGTATCCTCCCTGCTCCCTGCCCATAGCTGCAGCTGCCCCCACACATCTCTGTGCCCCGTGGGCCCCACAGGGACTGCGCATGTCCATGTGGCAGGCACCCGTCTGGAACCCAGTCCGCTGGGTTCTCCGACACCGGGCTGATGCCCATCGACCCCCCTGACCCACAGGGCTGGACGAGGAGAAGTCACAGCCCACAGAGAAACTCTCCCTGGAAAACAGCCATGGAAGGACCTCACGGGCTCCAGGCGACCTGCCCCCCAAGCCACCCACCTGCCCGTCCTGACACCGCAGGGCTGGCCCAGCCTGGATGGAGGCCTGTCCCACAGGTTAAGCCAGCAACAGAGCCTGGCCCTCCAGTCCACAGCTCTGCCACCTGGTCACTCACTCAGCGGACAGGGTAGCAGCCGGGCTGGAGCAGGGCAGAGGCGACAAACATCAGGGCGTGGAGGACAAGGCGGAGGAACCATGGCCCTGGAAAGCTCGTATCTCAGGTGTGAGCGCGCAGTGGGACCGCACGAGAAAATGCGTTTCTTCCCGCAGGTGCCAGTCCAGAGGCAGGAAGCAGACATCCGTGTCTTGTGGGCGCCCAGGTCCCCACCCCACAGCCGGGCGCAAGCAGGCAGAGGCAAAGCCCAGAGGAGGCAAGCGCAGCCGCCGCGCCTTGATGTCCCCACGCGGCCACGCGAGTGCAGGCGCCAAGGAGCAGAAACTGCCCCAAGAGCGGCGGCGGGAAGCCCCCGGGCGGAGGGACGGGGAGCAGCCACGGCGGGTCTCTGCTTCCTGCCCGCCGGCGGGGGCAGGCAAGCGACTCACCTCGGGGCCGCTCCGGGCCAAAGCCCTCGGGGCACAGGGCCTGGCAGGAGAAGGTCTTGGCCACCGCCTGCTCCACGGGCGTGAGGGCCAGGGCCTGGGGCCCCCCAGGGCCGACGGCCGCACGCCGGAGGTCAGCCAGCTTGCGCCGCACGACGGCGCGCAGGTCCCGCCACTTGTGCTTGAGGTCCACGAGGTCGCGGCGGCAGTAGCCCAGCGCGTTCACGGCCTGCAGGATGCGGCTCCACACGCGGTACCGGCGGGCCGGCTCGGCCTTCAGCAGCCCCGTGCCGAACAGCAGCTGGTGGTGCTTGCTGACCTTGGACACCAGGACCTCCGTCTCCTGCGGGCGGAAGTTAGGCTTCCTCTTCTTAGCCCGCGTGGCACTGGGCCCCGCCAGCCGGCTGTGGATGCCACCCGCGGAGTCCCTCCTCGGGCCAGCAGCGGGTGGTGAGGGCGGCTCCGGCGTCCCACTGCCTTCAGGGGTGACCCCTGGCCCTGGAAAGGCACCAAAAGGTGGGTGTTTAAGGCCAGGGGCTGGTGGGGGTGGCAGCCGAGGCTCCCAGGACGCCGCCTCCTCCTCTGTGGCTTCGGCTTCAGGCACGGCTGCCTGCACCCAGCACCACCCCCTCCCTGCGGGGTGTCCAGAGGCCCGGGTCCGAGTCCCAGCCCTGAGACTGCCTCGGAAACCATCCACCTTCCTGCCGAGCCGTGAGCGCACAGCAAGTGGACGACAGGAGCAGGAGGGCAGGCACGTCACCGTGGCCGCGGCCTCCACTCCCTCTGTGCCCCCACAGACCCCCTCTCCTGCGCTCCTGGGGGTCCCTGGGCTGGGCAGGCACACAGCACCCAGCCTGCAGGCCTCTGTCCACTGGAGGCCCTCGTCAGCAGCCAGCCTGTGCCTGCCAGGGGGCAGGGGGACCCTCTATAAGGGCAGAAGAGGCAGCCCCCATGAGACCAAGCATCTCCCAGTTGCAAGGAAAAAGGGAGCCCCCGACTGAGAGCCCCTGAGGACCCAGGGACATGTGAGCCCCTGGGGAGCACTCAGAGGGCAGCCTGTCTCCCCCAGACCCCTATCAACTGAAAGACCACCTCCTCAGAGGCCCACACATCCTCCCCTCCCTAATGCACATGTCAAGGATCCTGACGCTCCCTTATCCCCTCCCCCTGCGAGCAGCAGCCAGGCTCTGGAGTGAAGGGGCCGCGTGAACTCGCCCCACAGGCTGAGCCTCCTCCCTGGAGCCCAGGGGGCCTTTACAAGCACCAGCCATCACACGACGGCCCTCCCACCGCTGGCCCAGCCACATCATGCCATCTGCCATCCTTGGGGGAGGGGAAGGTAAGTGGGGGTGAGGGGCGGGCCACCCAGAATCCGTGCTGCAGCTTGCCCCCTGCTCCACATGCCTGTGTGCCCCCCTCCAGCTGACACACCCAGCTCCTGCCCGCCAGCCCTCCCCCCAGCACCTGGCATCCCCGGGTGGCCTTTCCCAGGTCCCCCCCAGACCCAGCACCCAAGTGGAAGTACCTCGCTTCCTGGCCCTTGGGCCTCTGGGCGTGCCCGCCGACCCCAGATCACCTTCCCCATCCTTGCCCACACAGGGGTCCTGTGGGCTGCTCTCTGGCGACGGGCAGGGGAAATGGCGGATTCCGTACTCGGTCCAACATTTAGCGCACTCTACAGACAGCAAGGGACATCACAGTTACACCCCGCCTGCTCACAGAGCAGCTCAGCGTGCTGCTGGCAAAGCAAGGCCCCACACAGGCCAGCAGGTGCCCTGAGCCCTCCAAGCATCCACGCCGAGAAGCTCCACTCGGGCCAACCTCTTCCAAGAAACCCTCCCAGACGGCCACACCTTGTGCAACAGCCTCTTTGGCTGAAGACCAGCGGCAAATCCAGGACTTTAAATGTTCCCAGTCTCGAAACCATGATCATTCTTAAAGGCCCAGACAGGGACAAAATCCCCAAGAACAGGGCTGTAGGTGTGGCCTGCAGATGAGACCAAGCCTTCCACGGGTGTCCCCTGCCAGCGACAAAAAATATACAAAACCGGGGGGGGTAAGGATGTCGGGATTTTGGCGACGATGTGAAATCACCACGGCACCATCCTGTTTATAAAACATGGTTCCAGAGCACAGTGAGAGTGAAAGCACAAACAAAAACTCGTCCTTCCTGGCCCTCGGCTGCAGGGCTGAGGGGCAGTGGGGCCAGCACTGGTCGGCCTCCTCCCCATACGCACCCCCAAACAGCCCGCAGAGGGTCGGACCCCAAGGACATTCTCATTGATTCAGAAACACGTCCTAGACCCGTTTTGCCAGAATTTGTCAACCATAAGACACACCTCATAAAAACATCTCACCACATCTGAAAGACGTGCCTTTCGGCCCGTAGCCCCGGGCCATCTGGGTGACCTGGTTTGCTCTGGAGCTCTCTGAAGGGCAGTTTCTGCAGAGCGAGCTCTAGACGGTCACGGCTGAGCTGTCCGAGCACACCCACAGCTGCCCTGAAGCCCAGGGAACATGATCTGTCCCGGCCAGACCCAGGCAGCTGCTTCTCGGAAAAGACCTTGGACTCGCGTCTCCCAAAAGAATGGAGAGCAAAGGACACCCGTCCAGCTCATGCACTGCATGACAGGGACAGAAGGACTGCCCCAAGTGATCCCCCCTGGACCCCAAGTGGGGTGGGAGAGGCCTCAAAAGGCCACCTCGGCCATCCTCTGCCTGCAGACAGCAGGGACCCAAAGTGCACAGGCAGCCAACGGGGCTCCCAGCCAAACCTGGGGGAGAAGGAAGGGCAGGGCGGCCAGCCAGCTTATTGGGGAGGGAGGTCCCCACACCACAGCCAACTGGAGCAAAGTGGGTTTTGGACTCCGACGACAAGAGCTCTCCTAGACATCCGGGGAGGCAGGCACAGACCTGGACGGTCACAGCCCGGGAGAGAGAAGCCATGGCAGAGGCCCTATGTCCAGATGTCTCTGTGGGTCTGAGGGTCTGACCATGAGCCTTCAGGACAGGGACCATCTCCCAACAGGGAAAATCAGGGCAAATCCTGTCACTTGCCCTCTTCCCGAAGGGCTTGGTGGGGAGCCTGTGGGATGGGTCTTCCCTCTAGACAGCCGCCGCCAGGCTCTCCTACAGGCCCTGGAACTTGCCTAGACCAGTGTGAGAAGAGGCACAGCTGTCCAGGCACCTGGTGACCAGGGTCACCATCTGCTTTGGAGCCCCCAGAGCCCCTCCTGTGGGGAGCAGAGAGAAAGGGGACCAGCTGGCGGTGGCCCACGTCACGGCCCGCATCACCATGCGATGACCTCCCCGTGCTGACACGTGGTCACGGAAGCCCACCTCCTCCTGGTTACCCCATGTGGTCCAGACACCTGTAAAGGGGCCGGTCCGGTCCACCCTCCAGAATCACATGTCCCTTAAACTTTGGGGTGAGGGGCTAAGGCAACATTCCTGGTTATTAGAATACACACAGTTACGGGGGAAATTCAAACAGACAATTAGAAAGAAACGATAAAGACCTTTTGTGGAAGGGGACACTGTGACCACAGGGGCGGGGTCTCGCACAGTCAGAAGACTGCAGACACAGCTTCGCTTTCCCCCATTCCGTGCACCTGTCCCCGTGTCCCGACATGCACAGAAGCACCTAGCGACCTTCTCCATCTCTAGCTGACGCCCACGTCACAGCCGCCTCCCTCAGCACAGTGGTGACCGCACGCCCGCGTTCTCGGCCCACGCCACCTTTATGACATCCTAGTGGTGCAGGAGGAAGCAGGGCCCGGCCCGGGAAGGGGCGGCGGCGGGGTCCAGGAGCAGCCGACCCCCACGCCCTCTCCTCTGGAGCGAACCAGCTCCACGGGCACACGGCCACCTTCACATCCGTCTGTCTGGGCAGCAGGTAGGCTCAGTCGGCTTTTCCTCTCTCTTCACAGGGCTGGCCCATTTGGAGGAATATTTTTAGGGTTTCCTTTGATTTATGTGAGTTCTTTATGTGTTAGTAATCTGCCAGTTGGCTGTTTGCCGTGTTTTCGCCGTGATCCTACCCCAAGGGGTCACCCCAAGCTCCGCGTAATCACCTGCAGGCTCGCGTGTGCCCCACGGTGCTTGGCACACGGCAGGTCCCGAGTGATGGCAGCGGCGCCTGCACAGACGGGGTCTCCACCTGGCCCCAGCGTCCTGCCCAGAGCACCAGCCCAACCGCGAGAGCCTTCCTGCATCCCCCCGCAGAGGAGAGGGTGGGGTGCCAGCAACAGCCAGGCCTCGACGACGGTCAACAAATCAGGACCACATAGCTCCTTTCCTGACGAAAATGCAATTAAGTAGACCTCATTTTTAAGAAACAACTAGGGAAAAAAAAAAAAAACACGGTTGGAAACAATGAACTACGGTTCTAAATAAATCCGGGGGGGGGGGCAGTAAAATAAATAAATAAATAACAAATAATTCCTGAGTCAAAGAACAGATCATAATGGAAAAAAAAAACACAACCGAACTTTAATTTAAAAACACTGCACACCTCTGAGCGTCTGACAGCTAACGCAGTGACCACCCGCACACTTACAACCTCAAAAGTTTTTACTACAAAAGAACAAAAATTGAAGATGAATGACGTAAAATAAACATCCAACTTAGGAGTCAGAAAAATAAAACAGCATCAACTCAAAGACAGAAGGAAGACGTGATACAAGTGCGAGCGGAGAGCGACCACACAGTAGAAGAATCCCGGACTCAGTTCTTCGGGGAGACTGTTAACGGCCAAGCCTCAATCAACACTGATTATAAAAAAAAGGAAATAGGGAAAGTACAAATGAGCCCTTTGAGAAATAAAACAGAGGATGTGATGCGGATACCAGGACCGTTAACAAAACAGCGGCACCACAGTGGTGGGCCGTGTGCAGCCCTCAGCCTTCGCGACCGCCCATGCTCAGGCAGGAGCAGCGGAGAGGGGCAGGCAGAGCCCGGCCGGGCCCACGGCCACACCACAGGGCTGCCCCATCAACACCAGTGGCTACTGTCCACAGTCAATTTCAATAAACCCGAGCATTTTAGTGAAGCAGACGTGTCTCAGAAAACGCAGTTTAGCAAAACTGACCCAAGAAGAAACGGAGAGCCGGACGGCGTTGACGACAGGAGAAGTGCTAGTCAAACAGCTCGCCGCGAGGGAAACGCGGTTTTATAAGCCTGGGCGATTTCAGAGCAAAACCCCAGAAACACTTCAGGAACGTGCAGTCCCATTCTTCCAGACGCCATGTGGGACAGGAGCATCATGTCGCCCAGCGCCACAGAGGATCTGGGCAGCTCGGAAAGGCGGAGAGAAGAACGGACACGTTGGGGGAGGAAAGAAATGCTGCTACTTACACACGACCCCGTCCAAACACAACACCAGAGAGTCCCCAAATTCTTACAGTCGGCAGGAGCTCAGCAAAACGGCACAACATAAAGCCAGCGACAAAAACCAATGACACTCCCCAGGAAAACCGTGGTTCCTTCCAGAAATTAACTTCTACAGAAAGAGAAACAAACTTCAAAACACTGGAGGGGAACCTCGAGCGTCAGAAAGACTTGAAAGGCCGGTCAGTCGACTGCTGCACGCGGGTCTTCCACGGCCCTGCCATGTGCCACGGAGCCACCAAGCCCTCAGAGATGCCCGGGTGAGCAGGATGCTGTGGTTATGCGCACACAGAGCCCCTCCCCTGCAGGGGCACAGGCACGGGTCGACGGGAAGCGTGCTGCATCTGGGACTTGCCACGGAATGACACGACGGCTGCCCGAGGTCACAGCAGCTGGACCGGCCACCGCAGACTCTGGATGAGGTAGAGGGGGCAGCACTGGGGACCGCTGCCTCATCATGTCTGCTTCCCCGTGTTGGAAACTGTCTATATTTAGGAAGTTTAAAAACAAGGCATTTAAAAATCAAAATCTCTGGACTGAGCTTTTTCAAAAAAAACAGTCGCCGCATACACGTACCAGCCACGAAGATTTGGAACGTGTAATGCTCAGAGAGGTACCTCTTCTAATAGCAAAATGTGGCGGGTTTTTTTGTTAAACTTAATAAAGAATATATAAAGTCTTTATAATGAAAGTTATAAAACTTTACTGAAAACCATGACAGAAGATTTGAGAACGAAACACACGTGCTCATGGACTGGGAGCCCATGAACAGCACGGACGCCGGTCCTCGCCACGTTCACGCCACGGACGCACAGCAGCTGCAGCCCAAACTCCAAGCCTGATGAGGGGATTCTGAAACGTGTGTCTGAGCAAAGGGCCCAACACCCAAGACATGTCCGAAGGAAAACAAGTAGAGCCACTTGCTGTGAAAGACATCAGAAACCCTAACTCTGAAAACTAAGGCAGAATTTTGCACAGGAAGGGAAAAACTGACCAGGAGAACCTACACAGAAACGGCCTTCATCAAAGAGCTCTGACTCTGCGGGTCTATAGGAAGGGGACAGCCCTTGGAATAAACAGTCCCAGGGCCACGTGTAGTTGAGAGAGAGAAATATGGGGTCACGGTTCCGCCCTCCCCGCACGCCACCCCACAAACAAAGATCAAAGCCTGGTGACAGTGAGGACAGGCCCACAGACGGACAACAGTCCCATCAGCATCCAAGGAGAGTACACGAGACACCAGGGTCATCTCGTGTAGGATTCATCACACCAGACAGAGTCACAGACCAGTCAGAAGAGATGGGCGTGCTTGAGCGAGCCACGAAGGAGAACTCTGCTCCCCAGGAACACACACTCCCCAGCAGGTGCCACACCGAGAAACCAACTGGAGAGACACAGGGTGAGCGGACAAGGGTTTCTCTTCCAGAGCACATAAGGAATCCTGGCAAGTCAGTAAAATGATGGCAAATGAGAGTCCACTGGAGGATAAATGGGTCCACGCCAGCGGTCGCCACAGAAATGCAGATGAAAGCCCGAGGAGACCACGCCGGCCCTCGGGCTGCACACGTTCACCCTCCAACACCAGCCCCCACTCAGCGGGTGAGCCCGGGGCACCAAGGGCAGCCCAGGCAGTGCCAACAGCCCCCCATACTGCCAAGGGCCACACATGCTCAGTGGCCCTCACAAGTGGACCAGAATGGGTGCCACGCAGCCACGGAGCAGGAAAACAGAAGGGAACAGCGACTCACGGCATCGGGGACTCAGGAGCCGAACCAGCAAACGGCCGATAAGACAAATCCTGGGGTTCCATAAACAAAGTTCTGAGATGTGCAAAGCCAGCAAGGTGTAGTGTGGGGACACAGAGCCAGGTCAGCTAAACCCAAGAGAACAGCAAGGAAGCCCCCAACATGGCCCTCAGGGCAAGGGCATCTGGGGAGAGGGCAGGCAACTTAGTGCTACTCTGCCCTGTGCCAGAAGCGTGGTGCCTCCCCAGCCCCACGAGCCTCGGTTTCCTCCTCTGTATTTGCAAAATTAAGGCCCGCACCACATGGTCATTAGGGAGACCAGGCCAGGCCATCCATCCACTCTGCCAGTGGCCAAGCCCCCGGGCACCTCTAAAGCAGCTCGGTGCCCCCACGGAATGCTGGCTTGGTGCCAGGAGGACCGCAGACACCAAGTCTGCCCCCCTAGGCAGGGCAGCCGCACCCAGAAAAGCCTCCCGTGCTGCTGACCTAACCCAACACTCACAACCCCATCCCAGCCAAGGCTGGGGTCACCCTCCCCTAGCCACAGGCAACATGAGTGAGAAAGAACCCACCTACCCCTGCTGCCATCACGACAGCAGAGACCCGCCTACTGCCACCTGCCCCCCCCTCACCCGCCGCCAGCACTGTGAGCCGCTGTCATTACCTAGGGGTTGATAGCCTTGTCTGGAGGGTCCCCCGAAAGGGCCATGGCTCCCCAGGCCACCACTGCCAGCGATGGATCCGTAGGACATCTTCTCACCGAGAGCAGGGCCCTCCCGCAGAGCAGAGCTGGAGGAGACAAAACCCGGGTCGGGAGGGAGGAGAGGAGTTAGTGCTCAGGTTCAGGGAGCACTGGGGCCCCTGCCCGCCCCGCCCGCCCGCCCGCCCCACTTCCTCCTCATCCCAGGCAGCCCCACGCCCACATCTCAGCTCAGCTCGACTCCTCCTGGGCCCAGGCAGTGGCTCCACTGAGCCCCTTCAAGGCGCCCCCTTGTCCCACTGTCCCGTGTGGGGACAGGCACTGGGAATAACCTCTCGAAGGCTGTGGTGGTCCCAAGCAGAGCCCCAGGGCCCCGTGCTCCTGCCCCCTGCAGCTCCAGCTCAGTCCTTCTGAGCCACACAAGACAGCAGACGGCCAGGGACAGGCTGCCGGGGCTGAAACCACCTTGACACAGTCCCTACAGAGCTGGGACAAGACACTGACCGTCCCCGGCCTCAGGGTCCTCATCCACAAAGCCAGGGTAATGAGAGGACCCGCCCCCAGGCCAGCCGTACAGAGCGAGTGACACACACTGATGGCGGGCACTCAGAAACCACCGCCTGTCTCGGTGCCTGAGCACGACTCCAGCCGTCCCTGCCGGAGATGGCTCAGCATCCCACCTGCCGGATCGCCTCCTCCAGGGAACCGAGGCTCCGGGATGGCAGGGATGGGACGTCTCCAGCCTGACAAGGGCCCCTGGGGCCCTCCAGAGTCACTGGTTTTCTGGGTGTCTGCATGGGGGCCACTGGGAGCACACGGACTCGCCCCGCGTCTGCCTGACAGGCCACACGTTCCCGACGCCACGAGGCTCACGCAGCGCTCCCAGCGGGCCGGCCGGGGCTCTCTGCACCTGCAAGCCGCGGTTCCACGCAGCCGGACCCAGGTGAGCTCGGGGGCGGCGAGAAGCAGGCCCAAGTCCCTGGGGCCGGTGGGAGCCTGCACCCCTGCAGCTAGGACTCACCCAGAACCCCGAGAGCTATGGCTTACGTGGGTAACATCTGCCAATGTTTACTGCGTGAGAAATTAAAAAGTTTTTAAGATATATTTATTACTCTGCTTCAAAGTGACAAGAAACCCGTTACGCGTTAAACTGACGTCGTTACGGAACAGCCGCGTTCTCCCGGACGAAACCATTCGGTGAGAAGAGCCAGAGCGTCTGATTCTTGGCGACTCTCTCAGCGGCTCGACAGACGCGCTGGTTCTCGCGCCTGCTTCCGGTCAGCTGTGACGCGACCCTGGCCCGAGCGTCGGACAGAATCTGACCGCGCAGAGGGGAGTTGTCTGCAGGGCCTGCCGCGGACCCGACAGGGACTCGGGGACCCTCAGGGATGCCCAGGGTCTGCACACTCTGGGGACCCCTGGGGAAAGCACGTGGTTTTCCTTCCCACAGGTCCCAGGCACCCGCCCGCTCGCCAGCGCATGACAGCCTGGGCCGCACCGGGAACACGTCAGATGTGGAGACGGAGCCCGGGACTTGTGGGGACGCAACGTGGAGAAAGCAGTCCCGGGAAGGACGGCGTAAAGGGGTGAGCATGCAGCAGGCACCCGGAGCCCCAGGCACAGGCCCGCACGTCCCCACACGCCTTACACAGGCTCACACTCCGTCCGCACAAAGACTGAAAGGAGGCCCCGCTGCTGCCTCACGTGCAGACGAGGACACTGAAGCACGAGGGATAGGGCACCCAAGGCCACGCGGCCGGCGGCCGGCAAAGGGCTTGTGATCCGGCAGGGCGACCCTGGTGCCCATGATCTCACTGCACGGCCCCTCGCCCCCATCCTGAAAGACAGGAGGCGCTGCCCAACTCCCAGCCGGCCGCTGTCGGCACCCAGAAAACAAACACCCAGGCTCTGAGCAAGAGCATGGCGGGCGCGGAAGTGCAGAGCTCAGTGGAAGGGGGCTGGGATGGCGTGGGGGACGCCACCGAGGGAGCGGAAGGAAAGACGAACAGGCCAGGACCAACTGTGCTCCCACGTCTGGGGGACAGCAACCGTGGGGACACAAACATGCCCGGGGAAGGGGACGCACGACCCAGAGCTCATGGCCGCGGAGCGGAGCGCTGGGAGGGGCCTGCCCTGCGGGGCACATGGCCCACAAAGACAGCACCCAAAACCTCGGCGGCCCCAAGTGGCACAGAAGACGCTTCCATACAGGGATCGGGCCCTTCTCTGTCCTTCCAGTAGAAGATGCAGGCCGTGCCCCGCCCAGCACAGGTGATCCAGGAACAGCTGGGACCGCCTGCAGCAGGAGCAAGGGGAGGTCCTGGGGCAGACGCTGTGCCCAAGCTGGGAGAGTGACTGGCTGGCGGGGTGGCAGAAGGTTCCAGAGAGACTCCCTCGGGGAGAGAGGGAAGACGGTGGCATCGGGACACGACCAGGCTCCAGGGAAACGCAGTGAGCAGGAAGGGAGGCCGATCCAGGTTCACCACGAGATCTGGCCCCAGCAGCTATGTGGTTAGGGAAAGCCTCCACCTGCCACGGGACGTGCAGCCCGGAGGGGTCCCGGGGGGAGTGAGGGGCAGCGGACGAATGTGCGTGTGCTCGGGTGTGTGTGTGCAAGTGCTCTGGCATGTGGGTACACGTGGGCTCAGCTGCTGTGTATGTGCGGGTCTGCACGTGCGTGTGCGCATGAGCACGTGTGAGCAAGCTTGTGTGCGCGAGCACGTGCGTATGTGTGTGTGAGCACGTGTGCAAGCGCATGTGTGCGAGCATGTGCATGAACGCACACGTCAGTCCTCACCCTGCACGCCACACGCCAGGTGGGCAGCAGCGACGGAGCACGGGACCGAGGGCAGCACCTGCCATCCAGAGATCTGCAGGCTCAGACGTAGCTAACTCTGGGGAAGGAAAAAGGAACGGCTGCTTTGTGTCAAACGACCACATAGGGCTCATTTTTCCTCCAAACTTTAGATGTGATTCATCTTGACACACCAAAGCTTCATTCTAAGATTCCAGTGAGACCATCATCCAGAAAGAGGAGTCTGGAAACAGAGCAGCAGGCTGCGGGGGTGTCTGCCTTGACCGGCTTGCCCAGGTGGGGACCCAGCACCTTCCTCAGATGTCTGCAGGGCGGCCCCAGAGTGGCCGTGTTGTCCTGGAGGGGCTACGAGGAGCCCAGGCGGGCACCTGGAAGGCCAGGGCACAACTCGGCAGATACACCCTGTGTTCACCGTGTCCAGTGTGAACGCAGTGGCCTGGTCCTGGCCTTGGGGACATGAACATTAGTTGGGAGTCAGCCAGAGTGTCCCGTGATGAGGGCTCCAACAGGAGGGCGCAGGGACCTGGGGGGCATGGCAAGAACCCGGACGGGGAGGGTCTGGTAGCCCCCCGAGGAAGCCGCTCAAGCCACGTCCGCGCAGAAGCAGGAAGGAGCTGGCCACCCGGCTTTGAAGGGAGACGCGTGGCATAGCTCTGGGAGGACGGGAGGGCAGCACGCACACCACAGTGACCAGGACTGACAGCAGGAAGTGACAGAGGCCGGGTGCACAGCGCCAGGGACTCTCGCAGCCCAAGAGGTCTCCATGTACCCAGCACAGGAGGGCAGAAGAAAGGGACAGAGGGGCCGAGGCAGCTGCCCTCAGCGGCGTCCGGGCAGGGGAAGGGCAATGAGTGGCTGGTCTACGGAGGCAGGAAGGAGAAAAGACTTCCAGCCGCCACCCGTCTGACTTGCGATTCATTTTGCTGTGCCTGGAGCACATGTCCACGCTGTGTGGGAGATGGAGGTGGCCCACGGCCCGAGCCACAGAGAGGCACCCCAACTTGGGGACAGAAACACGAAATGCCAGCGCCCAGCCCCTGCCTGCCGCCTTGCGCCCGGCCCAGCCGGCCACTCGGTGCCCCGAGCCCCTGGGGGGCCCGGCACCGGCAGACAGCAAGGGGCCACAGGCTCGCCCCCAGGCTCCCCAGGTGCCCCGTGCCTGGGCTGTGCCAGTTGCTTCCTCCAGGCCGCTCCTGCCCACCCAGCCACAGCCAGTTCACGGCCCGGCTCCCCCGCGGGCAAGGGCGGGCAGCGGGCAGAGCCAGATGAGAAGGGAGGGGGCAGCTGGACAAAGGAAGTTGGGGCCACTGGTGGCCCGGCTGGGCGGAAGCTGCATCAGAGCCTGGCCGGAGGGCGGGACAGATGCCACCAGGCTGCAGTGCCCAGGAATAGCCCTGGACCGCCCCAGAGCGGTGGGCCGGAGGCCACAGGAACAGGGTCAGCTCCCAAGGAGGCCTCCCACTGTGCAGTTTCCTTGAGCCAGGCCTGCCAGCCTCCTCCGGCCCTGTGCCCCCGGGGCTGGCGCCACACTCTTCCCCGGCCACCTCCCCGCGCCCCCTGCCAACAGCAGCCTGGAGGGGGCCATCTGTCCTGGCGCCGCCCAAATCCTGCTCTTTGGGCAGCAGAGGAAGCGAAGGTGCCAGGGAACGCCCCAGCAACGCGGCCCTGCCCCCAGGACAAAGCCCCTCGGCCCAGGAGGAGGCCAGACGGACAGCAGGACGTCACTGGACCCCGGTCAGGAGGGAGCACCCGGATACAGCTCTAGGCTGGGCTCCAGTGACCTGGACTCCGGGGCCAGCGCTGAGACAGAGCGGCTTCTGCCCCAGACGGGCTCCCAAGCAGGACACACCCCTGCCTGCAGCTTTCCTCCCTCGGCCTGGGGCGCTTGGAGGCAGTGAACTCGGGAGACTACGGCTGAGCCTCCAGGCAGCAGACACGGAACAGTATTTTCTAGACTGGGGTGCCCTAGAACAGACCTGCTTCCCGCAAGCTGAAGGGGACCCCAAAGATGGAAAGCAGGTCCTTCCCGGGGGGTCCGTTTCTCATCCGTAACATGGGCGCTGCCCGGCCCTTAGGGGACCAGAGTGAGGAATGAATCAGTTCGTCTCGGCCTTGGTGCAGTGGACCTTACCTGCACCGTGGAGGAGACACAGCAAAATCAGCATCACACGGTGCCCTCGGGGGCCTCCTGCTCCAGCTGGGCACAGACGAGGAGGGGTGACACGCCATCATGTGGACCTTCACC